AGACTACTCGGGGTCTTATCTTTAATCAAGAACATAGGAGGTGTCTCGTCCCTTACCCTTTTCTGACTGCTTCTTTGTGGAGAATTTATGGTGAACCTATGAATAAGATTTAAAAAAAAGGTCAGGAATTACCTAAACTACAAGCAAATTCCAATTTTCTTTTAAATTCCATTTTAGGACTTAATCTATTTTTCATTATTATTTTTGAAATTACCGTACACAAAAGGTGAAATGATAAAAGTAGGAAAATGGCTATCATTACAAAAATAGCCCTTCTTTACTTCCACGGAAGGCTTAAAGGATGTCTCGGCAAAAAGGACCAAACATAAGGACAAAAATAATAAAAAGTAGACAAAATGACTATCATTACAAAAATGTCCCTTCGATACTTTCACGGAAGGCTTAAAGGATGTCTCGGCAAAAACGGCCAAACATAAGGACAAAATAATAAAAAGTAGACAAAATGGTTATTTTTACAAAAACGACCCTTCGGTACACCCGAGAGAGGTTTAAAGGTTGTCTCGACAAATATGACCGGACAAAACTAGATAAAATGGCCATTTTTATGAAAACAGCCCCTGCCCTTCAGTAATTATATGGAAGATTTTAGGCTGTCTCGGCAAAACGACCGGACAAAACTAGATAAGATGGTTATTTTTGCAAAAATAACCTTTCGGTACTTCCGTAGAAGGTTTAAAGTTGTCTCGCAAAAATGGCCAGACATAAGGGCAAAATGGTAAAAGGTAAACAAAGTTGGACAAAGTAGCTATTTTTTACAAAAATGGCCTTTTAGCACTTCCAAGGATAAGGCTGTCTTGGCAAAATCGGCCGGATAAGAGGGCAAAACAATAAAAGGTGACCAAAAATAGAAATTTGTTTTTTCGAAAATTTTATGCACATGCGTAATTTTTATGCTTCTTTTTGTTTTTTGAAAACTGTGGGTCGAACCCGATGGAGGTTGCCTACATATCTCACCGGATAGTGAGAATCAGACCTACGTAGTTCGATAAAATGACCATGTTTTCTCTTTTTGAATTTTATGAAATTAATCTTTACTACCATAAGCACTAGACCACATTGTTGTTTATTTCTTTTTATTTTTAAAACGGACATTTGTACAAAAATCAAGAGCATGTTCTTTATTTCTCTCTATTCATTCAATTGATCCACCCTAAAGTCGGTCAACATGCAAGTCTCCCAAATAATATAACTGGTAGCACATAATAAGAACATAATGGTCTCGACACTTACATGTCCTTAAATAGAATCCGACCCCTGTGTCAAGCACTGCTAAGTCAAATGCACGTTATGCAAATAAAGCTAACCTACAACGGATATCCGGCATAAGGTTTTGTTTTAAAGTTTAATTTCGGGTGGAGAAGGTATCTAGACTGGCTTACTCAAGCGGACAACTCGAGCCGATGAGGGTCAACATACTGGTAGTATTACTTTCCGACTTAGCTGGTGGCGCTCCCCGCCTAAAACATGTGTGACTAAAATCCTTTATCGGGTGGCAAGAACCTCGTCTATCTCAAAGAAAGCGGGCTATTTCAAGCAAATTTCCAATTTTAATTTCAAGAAGACTCGGAGGGAGTGCGTGAGAAGATAGTTTATAACATACAGTTCAACAAAGTCATCACCATGATTAACTATGCCAGCGCTATTGGTAGTAACCTTCGTACCTCTTAGGATATAACTTCCTGAAATGCATCTGCTCAGCACATTGGTGAATTCTTGAATAATTCCAGCTCAATCTGGAACCACGTTGTTCCTATTTGCATTAAAACTTGCTGGGGTTGTAGGTTCAAATATGTAAAAGAAGAAGAATCATTCCATGATCAATAACATTGGGCATGCGACTCTTTGGTAATATTCATTCAAATACATCGTAGAATAAGTTGGAGGAGGTTGAGGATCGCCAAAAGTCCAATTCGGATGTTCGACATAGAGACTTGGGAGTTTGAAGAAAGTTAATGGGTTCTTCTCAAGATTTTCTCCATGAAGACATTATGTGAATTGTTAATAAGGGTAAAGTAAGTGCAGTACACATTGGGCCTTATAGAATCTTGAAGGAAATATGCCAAGTAGCCTATGAGTTTTATTTCCTCCATCGTTGTCCTTCATGCATCCTGTGTTTTATGTCCCAGTTGAAGCAAGTGATTTGGGAATTCGTCACTCATTGTTCCGGTAGAAACTATTATATTTAATGAAGAATTTATTTAAGAGGAGATCCCGGTTGCCATTCTTGATAGACAAGTCTGAAAGTTAAGGAATAAAGAGATTGCCTCCGTGAAAGTGCTATAACGAAACCAACAAGTGGAAGGGGCAACCTGGGAAGCCGAGGAAGAGATGAAGGAGAAAGACCATCACTTGTTGTATAACCATATTGTTGTGTTTTAAAAAACATATTAGGAGTTTACTTTCTATGAATTATGTTCAAGCTTGTGCAGTTTTACTAAGATTCTCCTTTGGGTAATATGATGCTTATGAGGTTGTGGTTGGTGTCACACCCCCTTTTACTCCAAAAAGATATATTGTATATTATGGATTGTGTGTGGATTAGAGAGTATTTCCAATTAAAGTGACAAACTTGAGTAAGGATTATTTTATTTACAGAGTCACCGATTGGAATTGATTTTTGGGTATTTCAAGTTACCTTTTATTTGAATCCCTAGTCAAAGGAATGTTTGACTCTATTATTATGGTCTGCAAAAACAAAGTCTGGGTAAGGAATTCTGTTCACCGGGGAGAAGGTGTAAGGCATTCCCCGAGTCCCGTGGTTCTAGCACAATCACTTTATTGACTTAAATTTGGCTTGAATTAATTTTGGACAAATTGTGTTTTATTGATTTTCATGTTTTACCTATCCGCTTTTATTTTTTGATTATTAGAAAAAAAATAAAGAATATTTTAAATAATAAGATGTCGTAACCACACTACGCAAGTGAATGCGTAATCGAGACTAAAGTTATTATTTTATCATAATATCACTACGCAAGCGAATCCGCAGTCATGACAAGGACTATTAGTAGGTTATTACTTTAGGAAAAATTACTACATTCGAAGAAACTAATTAAATATCAACTATCGCGCTACACAAGCGAATCCGCGATTTTATCAAAGGAATAATTAAAATAGAAATTAATTAAAGCTATAGGTCGTGATGGAGCCCAACGTCGTCGTTAGGCAAGCCAACGGTGAACTACCAACTTAAATGTTCATTTTTATTATTTTTGAAATCGTGAATCTTATTAGATGGAGAGATCGATGCATCTAAGATCGTAGATACATATGATTTAAGTAAAATACAAAGTAAAAGTGTCTTAATGGTAAGCAAAATGATTAACAAATTCTAGATCACCCTAAAACTCGGTGTCACAAGTGCATAAGCATCTACTAGGAAGTGCAATAATAATACAATATCTGTCTGGAATACAAGATAGATAGGATAATGTAAATAGTTATGATGGACTCCGTATGTTGCGGATCGTAACATGGGATGCAGCTCACTGTGAAGTTAGCCTGTTAAACAAGCCGGGCCAACCCAATCACGGCCCGATTTGACCTGGTTCAACCCGGGTCAGCCCGGTACGATAGGAGTTGGGGACATGTTGGGGAGGATTGGGCGGAGAGCCGGGCAGGAACATACACATTTTGGTAAATGGTGCCCCGGAAACCGATTAGCCCGGTTACCCGTTACAGGATTTTTACTAGACTACAACCTAGTCCAGCCCGGTTACCGTTGTAATTTGCTTTTTTCTTTTATTTCTGGACCGTTGCCAATAGTCAAATTCAAGAATGACTGTTGGGCAACAACCATTTTTTGCAAAATTAGCCATTTCGATCTACCCCTTAAGAAAATAGCCCCCCTCCCCTAATATTTGATAAATTATAATTTTAACCTTTTAAAAACTATAAATAGCCCCCTTCTTCATTTTTTCTCATAATTTTCTCTCTTACTACTCTAATTCTCTCTCAATTCTCTCAAATCAATTTCTCGTTCTTTCGTCCATGGCTGGAGACGTGCTAAATGTGTTGATTTCAACAGTCGCATCAGAGAGCGCATTTAGCCAAGCAAGGCAACAACTAGGAGATACCCGTCATTCATTGGGCAGCAACGCTTTGAAAATTCTAGTGTACTTCAGAGATTAAATAAGATCATAACAACAAAATCAAGGGCATGAAGAAGTAGATGAAGCGGAGGACAAATAAATTGGAGATATAATGGTTTATGGTTCCGATTCAAGCAATGTCGGAAATCAAGAACCTCATGTTGACATGGATGAACTTACAAATATGATGCAAAGCATGTGATGTACTCTTTATTTTTTATAATTATTGTAAACTTTTAATTTCCAAGTTCAAAAATCAAAAAATTAAAATAGAACTTGCAAATTAATTTGAAGTATTATTTATTATTCAATGAAAATATAAAACGAAAGTCTTCGGAGTTTGATCCTTACATATTGCCTATTGGTCTTATTAAATAATTTTTTGTAGCCACTTACTTTCAAATGTCAAATTTAAAATTTTAAAATTCAAATTTAAAATTTAAAACTTTAAACTTTAAAGTTTAATTCTAAGCCTTAAAAGTTTGCAAACACTTAAGTATCAATAACATTGAATAAGAAAAATAAAATATACTTTAAGAAAAAAAAAATTAACCCAGCCCGGTCCGGACCCGTTAAGCCCACTACCATCCTGGAACCCCAGCCCACTAACTAGCCCGGAACAATAACCGGACGGGCTATTTTTTTTCGTGTCCAGCCCGGACTAGTCCATCCGGTTAACACCTTTACCGTGAAGTCCCCGCAATAGTTGCGCCTTTGTGCCCAAAACACCACCAGAAATATGTACATTCACAATAAGTCCAAAAGTGTGGCATGAGTACGTAAATCAACGCATACTCAGTAAGTATCTGGCCTAACCCCGGACAAGTAGTGATGAGGGATCGACATCAATACTTACTAGTGGTCCAATATATCAAGTACAGTAGAAAGTAAACAAGTATGAAGCATGGTAATTAAAAAGTTAAAACAAATATATGTACATGATACAATAGTCATCTGAACAGTAAACACAAGTCCTCAAATATCGATCACTTCCTCAAATGGAGTATATAATATGGTCCCTACCAGATAGGTCATCACAACTCAAGTCAGGAAAACTCACGGATACAAGGCTTCTTGTCAAATATTACACACGGTTCTGCTGAGGCGAACGGCCCAATCCCATAAGAGTGTGGTACATAATACTGTCGAGGCGAACGATCCGATCCCATAAGAGTGTGGTACATAATCTTGCCAAGGCGAACGACTTGATCCAATAAGAGTGTGGTACATAATCCTGCCGAGATGAACGACCCGATCCCATATGAGTGTGATACATAATCCTACCAAGGCGAACAACCCGATCCTACTAGAATAAGAAGCTTTAACGGGTCCTTGACCCCCACTAACGAATATATATATGTGAGTTATGAAATTTAAGGAAACTTTTTGATGAATACGCACAACAAGGGAGAAATTCGTAAAGGAAGAATAATTTTCCGCCGCTAATCAAGTAGCTCGTCGAATATCTAAAAAGCGAGTACGATACTTTACGCGAGTCTAGTCTCATGATAAATGTAAATAAAAGCATTTAAACATGCAAGAAAGACTCAAATAGTATAATTTAAACATGGCGTGAGTCTAAGTCTACCCGGACATAATTAGAAATCCTAGCATATGCACGGACACTCGTCACCTCATATGTGTGTATCTCTCACAACATGTAGAACATAAGAATATATCACCTACGGGGTAAATTCCCCCTCAGAAGGTTAGACAGGATACTTATCTCGCTCTGAAATTCCATAACCGGCTCCAACGCCTCTCTAGCACCTCACACCAATGCCCATCGATCAGAAACTAGTCAAACAATCATGAAAACCAATAAAAATATACTCCAACATCATAATTAATTAATTTATAACACTTTCCAACTCCGCTCGAAAAGTCAACTAAGTCAACCCTCGGGCCCACATGCCCGAATGAAAAAAGAGTGAGCCAAATCCCGTACTCAACAAAGCATTCTGCCCTGCGATCATCGCACATGCGGCCAAATAATCGGACTTGCGACTCCGCACTTGCGAAAAACATCCATTGCAGGTGCGGTTCCTTCTAAGGCCAGCCAAACCTCCTTCTGTGAAAAATTTCTCGCTTTTGCAAGCCTACACTAGCCCTTCCCAACTCCACTTCTGCGGAGGATTTAATCGCGCATGCGGAAGCGCGCCTGTGGTTGAGCCTCCGCATCTGCGGAAGGCCATGCCTCTTCGCCTTTGGCTTCTGCATTCCACTGCCCGCATCTGCGAGCTCACAGGTGTGGTGGATTCCTTGCACCTGAAAATCCAGCCAGCCTCAATCACATCCGCTTCTACGACCCCTGGGCCGCATCTGCGGTCTCGCACCTACGGCCAAAACCTCGTAGGTGCGATTATACCAGAAACCTTAAGCTTCAGCAATTATGATTTGATTCCAATCTAATTCACAACCGAGGCCCCAGGGACCCCCATCCAGCCATAACAATGCATCCTAAAACATGATATGAACTTAGTCAAAGCCTCCAATCACGTCAAACAATATCACAATTTATGACTCGACGGCCAAAACCTTTATTTCAACTTTCAAACTTTATCGAACGCATCCGAATTATACTTAAATATCCTAGAATGATGCCAAACTTTACGTGCAAGTCATAAATCACAATATGTAATTCCAAGGCTAGGAATCCCTAACGTACATCGATAACACCAAAGTCCACTTCAAGTCCAACTTAGGAATTTTTAAATTTTTCAAAATGCCAACTTTTCACAATAAGCGCCGAAATGCTCCCGGGCGACCCGATACTCAACCCGAACATACGCCCAAGTCCAAAATCATTATACGAACCTATTTGAACCTTCAAATTCCGATTCTAGATCATTTACTCAAAAGTCAAACCCTCGTCAACTCTTCCAACTTAAAGCTTCCAAATTGAGAATTTCCTTCTGAATCAACTCTGAACTTCCCAGAATTCAATTTCGACCATACGTACAAGTCATAATACATAAAGTAAGTCTACTCAAGGCCTCAAACCGCCTAACGATGCGCTAGAGCTCGAAATGACCGGTCGGGTCGTTTAAAAAAGGTTAAAACGCGCCTACTAATTGCCTAGCATTTAAATTAGTTAAATTAGTTAAACAAATAAACTGACTTTTTGGATTTTTATTGTTGAAAAGATATGGAGAATCAATGATGGGTCAGTTCACTTGTATTGGACAAGCTGGCCTATTTTGGTTATCACATGGCCATTGGGCCAAATTATTTGGTACTAAGCTATTGGCATCTTTTGAAATTAAATGGCCATTGGGCCAATTGCTGGTTATTCTCTTTGGGCCTAGTATTTTGTTTTTCCTAGTATTTGCTCCCCATTGTAAGTCACATGAAAGATAAGGCCGAAGGCACAAACAAACAATCAACTATTGGTACTAAAATTAAATTAATTAATAATATTGGAATGACACAAACTAAAGACAAAAGTCAATTAAGAATCATATGGGCCCACAACCTTTGAAATTCTTCCCAACAAAGCACACTTGACATTTAGTTTCCACATTCAACTCTTAATTAACAAGTCCTATTTAATTCCTACATTTAAGTCCTAACTAACAAGGCAAATATGGATCTTCTTTCAACTACTTGACATTTAAGTGAATTGAAATTACGTCCTATCAATTTGTTAATTAACCTATAACCTAGCAAGAAACAATAAAATGAGAACGCCTAATCATTGAAGGCATCATTTTAACCTCACACTATGCTTAAACCAAAAACTAACCTCCATGAGCACAAATAAAATAATCCAAATTAAAAAAATAGAACATGAAAAATTGAAACGCGGCTTCGAACACTATTGAAGCGAGATGGCAGTAAAGAAGAGTGAACTTAAATGAAACAAAATATGCTTAAAACTTTCACACATTTGGACAGAACACAAAAGCCAATTTAGTTTAAAGCGTTGCTGAAAATAGTTCCATTTTTATTATTTGAACAGCTATATACGACAAGCATAACCACTTTTGTCTATGGATCGAAATTATTAAGCCGGCCGAGGATGGTCAGATTTGATAAGCACCAATATCCATGACTGAAAAAGATATAGCATGTACGTCTCTAAGATTTGAAACAATAACAGTTATTTAAAACCTCCACAACTTAGATTTCAAACATACGAACATCCATATTTGCATACATTAAGCTAAGGAATATCTCACACGGTGGAAGTAAACATTCAAAACATCATGATTCTCATTCATTTTTATCACAGCAGTCATATGGAGGTTAACAGAATACCTTGTTGTAGAATTTCGAGAAAGAAACAACAAGAAAATCTTTTGATATCAAAGCTACTTGGGACCAACAAGCAGAACCAGCAGTGAAAAGCAGCAGCAAATCAGCAGTAGCAGAACCCAAGAATACCCCAGAAAATCTAGCAAGAAGCACCGGAGGCTAGAAACTATGTAATTTCAGAAGTTAAAAAACAAGATCTTTTGTTTTCTCAAAGATTATGCACTCAGAAGATCACTCACAAAGATTTCATTTCTTCAACTTACTTTGATGTTTAGCAGAGGCCTTTTTACTTTTTTTAGTTGTGTCTTTCTTAGAGTGTAAAGGATGATCTCCAAATGTGTGAGAAATGAACTCTTAGGTAGGAAAAAAAAAACATCTTTTGGACAGATTTTGGTTTACCAAACGTCTGCCCAAAAAGACTAACTTTTTCTACCAAATACCTACCCAAAAGACTCACTTGTGTGTGCTAAAAGTATGTCCAAAGGTTGTCCAAAAGGGAAAGGACAGTCCAAACCAGCTAAAATGGCAAAAACATGGAGGAAAATGTATTTTCAACCACTCTAGTACTAAAAAGTAAGCTACTAGCATATCCTATTTCATGACTACACTAACTAAACTTCAGTTATGAACTAAAACAGTACCGAACCCCTTGATTTTGAACCAAATCAATTTCAAACAACTAAGAATTGTCAAAACAATAAATAAGACTTTCAAATGGAACTAATACTCAAACTAACTAGATTGAAATAATTTGATTTGTGCAAACTAACATGGAACTAACATGAAATAATTTGATTAGCTCATTTTTCTCATTCTCAACCACAGTCATCCCTACCTTTTTAGGCACACATTGCACTGGGCTTACCCAGTTGCTGTCAGAGATAGAAAAGATGATACCTGCATCGAGTCACTTAATTACTTCCTTCTTCATGACTTCTTTCATGGTGGGATTTAATGTCCTTTGCTGCTCAACACTGGGGCGGTGTCCATCTTCCAAAAAGATTTTATGCATGCAAAACGATGGACGTATTCCCTTGATGTACACAATTGTCCACCCTATAGCCTTTTTATGCTCGCGAAATACTCTGAGCAATTTTTCTTCTTGTACATTAGTCAAGCTGGATGAGATAATTACTAGCAATATTTCAGAGTTCCCCAAATAAGCATAGCGGTGATGCGCTGGAAGGGGCTTAAGTTCTAGCTTTGGAGCTTCTTCAATAGATGGCTTAGGAGGGGTCAGAGTGAAAAGCCTGTCCAACTCCTCAAATCTCCCAAACCCATGGATATAATTGTACGACATGTCAAGTACTTGCTCAATTTCGCCCATCATCTCATCTTCACTATCTTCTTCATCCCCAATCAAAGCTCGTTCAAGAGGATATATGGGGCTCATATAAGGCACCAATGATGTGGCATCGCTTTCCACCACAGAAATCATGGATAGCTCTTCATAGTGGGCTGGCAATCTGAAAGCTTTATACATATTGAATACCTACACTCGATCACCTACTCTCATCGTCATCTTTCCTTCGCATACATCAATAATAGCTCGCACCGTGGCTAAAATAGATGCCCCAAAATAAATGGGACTTCCTGATCAAGTTCGTAGTCTAAGATAATGAAATCAACAGGGAATATGAAAGACCCCACTTGAACTAACACATCTTCAATCACTCCTTCAGGATGAGCAAGGGAGCGATCAACCAATTGTAAGATTACTGTTGTTGGGGGCGGCTCACCGAAGCCCAACTGTCTGAACACAGATAGCGGCATCAACCCAAGATCACACAAAACTCTCCTGACTGCATGCTTACCAATGGAGATTTGGATAGTGAAACTACCAGGATCCTTCAATTTCTGAGGTAGCTTGCTTTGGATTCTTAAGCTACATTCCTCGGTAAGTGCCACAGTCTCGAATTCGATCAACCTCCTTTTATTTGCCAGTATGTCCTTGATGTATTTTGCATATTTGGGCACTTCTTGCAGAATGTCTACCAGTGGAATATTGATTTGCACTTGCTTCAAAATATCAAGAAACTTTTTATAGGCAGCATTATCCTTCACTTTCCGCAATCTTTGAGGGAATGGGGGTGGTGGCCTCGCAGCTAATGGTGGGGGTTCCTTAGCCACTGCCTCTTCAGCTGGCTTCTCTAACTCCTTTAATTTTTCTGATTGTGACTCTATAGTGTCCGGCTTCTCATTAAAAATCACATATTTTCTCCTTTTCGACTGGACTTCTTCTAATTGTCTCCCATTCCTCAATGACACATCATTAATAGATGATTTAGGATTAGCCTCAGTGTCTCTTGGAAGAGCTCCAACTAGTCGAGTATTTTGGGCACTGGCAAGTTGTCCCAATTGTCGCTCCAAATTTCTCATTGCTGCTACTTGGGCCTGCTGGTCAGCCATCACTCTTTTCATCATCTCTGTTGTTTGGGCCTGCTGGTCAGCCATAACTTCCTTCATCATTTCCTCAAGGTGACTTGTCGAGTTTGTATATTGTTCAGCCTGAGGTGGTCTATATTGTTGTTGAGGTACTTGTGGCCGGTATTGATTCTGAGCACCTTGGTTTCCACCCAAGAGAAATTTGGGTGGTTCCTCCAACTGTGATTGTAAGTGTTCCCATACTGGTTTGCCTGGCCTCTATTTGTATTACCCATAAAATAGACAGACTCAGGATTAACTGGGCATAAGTCACCCGTATGACCCTCTCCACATACTTCATAAGATAATTACACATGTTGCACTGGCTGAGCTTGTTGCTTGATAATAACCAAGGTCATCTGATTGACTTGGTTGGTCAATGTGGAAATCTGTGTTGATAATGCAGAAATGACATCTAGCTCGAGAACCCCTACAGATTTTGCACAACGTGTCTGCCCATCTCTCCTTGCCAATCAGGATTGATTTTGGAGAATTTGTTCAATAACGCATATATCTCATCAAAGCTTTTCTCCAACACTTGACCTCTAGCTGCAGTATCTACCATAATTTTTTTCTTATGATGTAGCCCTTCTATGAAAGTGTGAGCTAACACTTCGTTTGTCTGATTATGATAACGACAGTCTCTGAGCAGCCCCTTGAACCTTTCAGTATAAAGACTCCCCAACTTTCTGTTTGAAGGCGATTATCTCACTTCTAATCTTTGCAGTTTTGCCTGAAGGGAAGAACCTTGCCAAATATTTCCTTGCTCGATCATTCCATGATGTAATAGAATTAGTCGATTCTGCCTTCAGCCATCGCTTTGCTTTACCCAACAAAGAGAACGGGAAAAGTATAAGCCTCACATAGTCTGGAGTGACCTTGTTAGTGATGTAAGTATCACTAATCTCCAATAAATTCAGGATATGCTGTTGTGGATCCTCGTGTGGAAGACCCATAAACTGCTCATTCGTATGAAGTAACTAGATCATGCTTTGTTTCAGCTCAAAATGCCCAGTGATTCTAGGCTTCACAATGCTGGAGGTGAAATTAGCAATGTTGGGCATTGCCACCTCATGAACAGCCATATGTTGCTCCTCTACCATGTTCACAGGAAATTGAACAAGTGCCTGAAGATTATTTGTGTCCCTTGCTTCCCTCAACCTCCTATGAAATGTTCTCTCAAGTTCGAGGTCAAAGCCTTGAAGTCTATCCTTGATTCTGACCCTTTGCATTCAATCAAGGTTCCTAAGAGTAGAGCAACAATTAAGTAACGTTAGATTTGATGAAATAAACAATTAAAGCAAAAACTAGAAAGTATTCAATATTCAAGTCCTCGGCAACGGCACCAAAAACTTGTTTCTCCCTAACACACACGCAAGTATACGTGGTCGTACAAGTAATAAAATAATAAGTTGAGTGTCGAACCCACAAAGACTTGTATTAACTACCCACTAAATTCACCAAGATTGTTATTTAGTTGAGTCAATTCGAGTTCAAATGTGTGATTATACTAAACAATAATTATAACTAGTAACTAAATTATCAAGCAGCAAAATAGTGGTTGTGTATTTAGTAGAGACAAATATTCCAGGGTTGTGATCGATTCACCAATCTTATTATGTTTTAGTTAACTCTCCCTTTCATACAATTCACTCATGGTTGCTAATTAATCGAACAATTGCTCTCATAGCCTTCTCCCAAAGTACTACTCGCCTATTCAAAATAGATTAACGCTTATATTCCTATGAAATCAATCGATTAAGAACGCATTAAGATTATGATATTTAATTAAGCATGGTGACTAGGTATATTCCTATCCTAACCACAAATCCTCCCCCTCCCCATCAGAGTTAAGATCGTGCTCTCTTCAATTCTTCTCTAATCTAAACACGGCTTTCCCAAGCATAGCATATATAGTAAATAGAACGTAACTATTGGCCAGACAATTAAGCAATTAATCACAGAATTGAAGAAACAACCATATATTGATGAATTGTAATCAAGGTTAAGTCAACGTTAAAAAATAATATTCATGGCTAAATCACAACCCTAGAACTATGGATTTTAGCCACTCATGATAATATCAAACAATTTTCTAAGTGTTGGATAATTGAAAATACGAAGAAATTATGAAGAAAACTGAGATCTCCTAGCTCTCAGATGTTCCTCGTGGGTATTCCATTTACAAAGCGGCATCCCCCTCTCTAAAAATAAGCTTAGTCTTGATTTTATACGCATTGGGTAGGTCTAGGGCCGAAATAATCTTGCCCCGGGAAAACTTGGATAACTTTCCCATCACCAGCGTCCAGCCCAGCGCCCCACACTGGCCCTGGACCTGGCTTATTAAAGTTTCTATCACTGGCGCCACAGGTGGCGTGGAGCGCTTCCTATGGCGCTGAAAATCCATTTTTTCCGTTTTCCTCCGTTTGGGCTCTAATCTTGCATCTTTAGCCCCCAATTGCTTCCGGATGATTCCTATACATAAAAACACCCCAAATTAATATACATCAACACATTTTACATCCGAAATCCACGAAACATGAGTAAAACATGAGACGATATACATATAAATATATATACTTCAATCTAAACATCATGGAGTTCTTGTAAGAATGAAAGTTGGTGTTGTGTATACTATTCTCTTGATTGGTTTAACTCTTTATGTTTATCCTCAAATTACTCATGGGTAAGGTGGAATGGTAGGCACTAAGTAGGCTTGCTTGACTGGGGCAACTCAGTCGAGCACATGTCCTGCTTCATAAGGTCGGGGCGTGACAATGGCAGCCAATGATGTCAATATCATACACAACATTGAGAGGCACGGACATGATTCAATCAGTGATAACAAAGTGGATGAGACAAACCCGGTTCAAGGTGGCCAATATCTTCGGCACGTGCGGGAATTGACTCTCGATGATGCGAAGGAGGAACATGTCGTGGAAACTATTAAAATCATGAGAGAACAGTAGAAAGCAATCATGAAACACCTCTTAAGGAAGGATCGAGTGATGAATGAGTTAAAACAAGCATTGTCAGGTGCCTTCAATAACATGAACGGAAGGGGCCCAATTCCTCCAAGTATCCCTGCAAACCAAACAGCTCATAGGGTCGATAACAATACACCAAGAGGCAAAGTCGGTTTCGACAAAGCCAGAGGGACTAGTAGTGGATCTGGGAATAACAACATGAATATACATTCAAAACGAAGATCATGAGGTTTATGAGTTAAATGAATGAACGAATGGATCAAAATGCGAAGGAGTTTCACGCTCGGATGGATCAGATTCTAGGTGCACCGCTAGTAATAAAGGCCTATATTCAAGAAAATACACACAATTGCCATTTAAGTCAAGCGCAAACACCAGAGTTAATTCCAAAGAGGTTTAGGATGCAAAACATACCAAAATATGATGGTACTTAGGATCCACATGAGCACATCTCAACCTACACCACGACTGTGAAAGGGAATGATTTAGCTCAACATGAGATCAAGTCGATTTTTCTGAAGAAGTTTGATGAAACCCTCACAAAGTATAATGATCCGACCGGTCGTTTTACTTTCTAGATCACTGTTACCTTAGTTAAGACTCCCCATATGTGCATGTACTATTTTATGATTTACGAGGATGGTTGGTTTAGGTTTGGAAGGGTTCAGGTTGAAATCAGAACACTTAGTTCCTTGATAGTGGCCTTTGATGGCTAAGTTTGACTTGAGTAAATATTTTGAATAACTGACCTTGGAACTGGGATTTGATGGTTCCAATAGATTTTTTTGATGATTTTAGACTTGGGCGTGTGTTCGGATCAGGTTTCAGGTGATCCTAGAACATTTCAGCGCTTAATGTTGGAAGGTGGTTCATTGAAGGTTTTCTTGTTCTTTAAATATAGTTTGGAGTAGACTTTGGTGTTATCGAGGTCCATTTGGTATTCCAAGCTCGGTAATAGTTCTGTATGGTGATTTATGACTTGTACAAAATGAATTGGAGTGATACCGAGTAGTCTAAGTATGATTCAGCACGTTCGGAGCTGGTTGAAAAGTTTGAAGTTCATAAGTTGATTCAATTTGGTTTTGGGTTGCAATTCTTAGATTAGATGTTGTTTTATGTGTTCTGAGGGTTCGAGCGGGTCAGTATTATGGTTATAGACTTGTTGGTGCATTTGGACGGGGTCCCGGGAGGCTCAAGTGCATTTCAGAATGCTCGGAGCTAAGTCCAAAACTGCTGGTGTACTGGTTCTCGTTTCCTTCCTCACGAACGCGGAAGAACCCTCACGTTCGTGATGAAGGATTTGGGGGCTAGGTGATTTTTCTCTTCGCATTCGCGAAGCTTCAGGACTTGTGGCCTTCGTGTTCACGATGTCCTGGTCGCGTTCGCGTAGAAGGGATTATAGGGCCAGGGGTGTGTGGGTCACTGCTCTTCACGTTCGCGAAGGGTGGGTCGCGTTCGCGATGCTTGGGTTGGTCAAGACTTCGTGATCGCGAGGACCCTGTCGCATTCGAGAAGGAGAGTTTCAGAGGCTTGGGCAGTTTTGCCTTCGCGATCGCGAGGGCTTGTCCGTGATCGTGAAGAAGGCAGATCTAGGCAGTGACTTAATAAAAATCGGGATTTTGGCCATTTTGTTCATTTCTTGGCCGATTTTGGAGCTTTTTAGAGAGGGATATTCACCTAACATCTTGAGGTAAGTGTATTTTACACAATGTGAGTTTAATATCTAGATTATGGGTAGATCTTAACATTGAAATTGTAGAAAGTTAAGTATTTTGTTGAAAAACTTAGGTTTTGATAAATAAAAAAAGGGATTAGACCATGAAAATAGTTATGGAATTAAGTAGAAATTGTATATTTGTGTTCGTGAGGCAGTGAGTAACAACTATTTACAAATATTTTTGGAATCCGGGCATGTGAGCCTGGGGTGAATTTTAGGATTTTTCCAAATTGGATTGGTAATCACTCTAATAGTTAAATTATAAACTTTTGAGCAATTATTGATTAGTTTGTACAACCTTTGGCTAGTTTCGGATTGTTCGGCACCGACTTGAGGCTTTTAGAGTGATTTGTGGACCGGAAAGTGGACTGGGAGCGAAGTAAGTCTCTTGCCTAACCTTGTAAGAGGGAATTAACCTCATAGGTATTTAAATTATTATTTGCTACTAATTGTGGATGCTACATATGCACGAAATGATGAGAGTCCGTGCGTAGCTAAAATTCATATTATATACGGGTAGACATAGGCCTTTATTATGCTATTACTTGCACTCTTTGAACTCAATTCGCTAGTTTAATTGCTTGAATTAATAAGTAAAAGTTGGTTAAAGATTGTGTTAAATCAAGCTTCATTACTTAGAGATTTGGCGGAATGTTTAGTCATTGATGGAAATTTATATTCTTTTATGGGCTTACCTTGAAGCTATAAATACTTAATTCGTAATCCAAAACGTTTCCCTATTCATGTGGAACGGGCCGAACACCTCGACAATATTTATATATATTATGGGATGCATCCATGGATCGGGCCGTACGACCTCCGTAGTGTATGTATACGATTATTATGGATCGGGTCGTACGACCTCAGCATAACTCATGCGTGTTGTCACTCGGAGTCCAATTATACTTTATATGTATTTCATGACTTGAGAATTTATAAATACATATTGGCCCCTTACTTGTTGAGATTAGCATGTGATATTTGAGGACTTCTAATTTTTATTTCGTTAAGGGGTCATTTAATTATTGCCTCTTATTCCATTATTGATGTTGCATTTCATGGCTTTTACATATTCTTATACATTATGTATAGTTCCCACTAGTTAGCGTCGATGTCGAACCCTCGTCACTACTTCTTCTAGGCTAGACTGGATACTTGCTGAGTACACCTTATTTACGTACTCATGCTACACTTCTGCACATGGCCTGCAGATTCTGAGGCAGGTGCATCTGGAGTTCGTCCGAGCATGCAT